CAGGAGTGCCCGGGGGTCCGAGCCCAGGGCCAACAGCTGTGCGCTGGGAGCCCCGGCATCCGGATGCCTGGGACCTAAAAAGGTCACGGGAGGCACGTAGGGCTCCGGGCGCCCCAAGCTCAACCGGCGGACAAACTTCATGGCTGCCGATCCACGGGACTCGGAAGATGCGAATGGCGGCCGCCAACGTGAGAACGGCTGCCCTTAGAGAACATTACGGTAGAATTTCATCTCCAAGACATTTACGAATCTAGAGGGCGCCACCGTTCTGATCCGGCAAAAGACGCTTTGAAAGCCAAGGCAATCCGACATGCCTTTTTGCGCTTTCGTTACTGTGTACTAGAATATTTGGGTAGCGTTGGGAGCGGCTCGGCAACGGGAGCTCGTGAGGGCGCGTGTATTGACAGTTCGTGGCGGCGCTGTAGTCGAGTTATCCGGAAAAAATCACGCAGCCCGCCTTTTTTTTTTTTGCACTTTGAGTGGTGCACGTGTCAATACCACGATTTTATTCACTCCGTTTCACCTCATGTTGTACCGCAGCGAGGGCTAGAAGCGCGAGCTCATAGCGTTGGCAGCTGCCGTTAATGCACGGGAGCTTGTGCCGCCGAGATGTGCCCTAGAGCAAGGAGCTCGCGCATGTAGCCTTTCCTGCGGTACAACACAAGGTGAAACAAAGTATAGGGCACTTAAAAAAATCGGTATTTTCAAATTTTTTTTTTTTTTTTTTAATTTTGCGATAGGGAAAGGTTTAATGGGCCGTGTTGCAATTACAGCTTTGAAGGGAGCCATTATTAAAGGCCAACCCAATTTAGAAAGTTCGCGAACAAACAACGAGCTTTGAGCGAAAGCAACACGGCGCTCGTTTTTGTTGTGTTTGTCTGTTCCTTCTCGTTTTCTTCCTCAAGCTTAATTATCTGTACTAACCCGCTCGTTCTGTCCTGAGATATTCATCGCTAAAATTTTGCCTTTCTTCGCTTAATTAGAAAACCGCGCGCTGAAAGTGGGAATGAGGTTGTGCTGATATTGATGCGTAGAAGAATGACACAGTTGTTTCTGTACCCTCGTCACTAATTCAACAGCGTGTCTTCGGTGAACTCGCCGGCGCCACACGTCAAGACAACCAAGTCACTATTCTACGTATTATTTTCATAACGCGGTTTCTGAATCAAGCGAAGAAAGGCAAACGTTTACGATACATTTCGTGAACCTCATTGCCTTTTCGCGAATTGTCGAAATTGTGTTTGCCTTTAATAATGACTCGTTAATAAACAAGTTAACTAACAGATTTTGGTTAATTACTAAGCATTGCAACGGTTATTCACCCATTTATTTTCCGCCGAGCCCGACAGATAAAACGAAAGACGACATCCACATATCTGCCACATCCTTTTTTTTTTGTAAAATATGTAAATTTCTGTAAAGAATAAAACAAAAACACCCTGTATGTGTGCGTGAACCAGATACGCCCCCCGGGAAACCATGGGTCTTTCCCTTCGAATACCCAGCTCAGTCGAGACTTAGCTGGTTGTCAGAAAGCAGCTGTCGGTTAAATGTATTGTTATGAGCGTGTGGGTTTCAGATGGTTTACCCTCAAGAGGATAATGCGCTGCATATTGTAACCATGTGTGCGTTGCACATTGTAACCATTATTTCAATGCCGTGCTGTAAACTATTACAACTTTTTCCTTGCCTGATCTACGTGTGCTCATGTGTTCCGCTCAAAATGATGTGAAATAGTTGCTTATTATCTTTGAATCTTATGAAGCATTGCTTGTTCAGTCCACGTTGTCTCAGTCTTTGGTCTTAAGTTCAATGTTAAAACGCGTGATAAAAATTGTCACGGCTTATAAGCCATTTCTTACAAGTGAACGTCAGGTGGTCCTCGGATAGTCGTGGCAGCGATGAAGAAATATCAGATTCTCACCCCTTTGCGACTGTCGCTTGGGTGGTTTGTCGCATAAATGAACACAAGAATAAGTGACAAAAGGACGGCATTGTTGTTTTTCAAAAACAGAAATGAAGCGGAGTTGCCCTTTAAGTAAATACGTGTTCACTCACATTATTTCTTTTCACACTTTGCTCTAGGTTAAACTTTTGCATTTAAATGTTTATTTTGGGTCTATTTAATTAGTATTTTATCATTCCTATTTCCTTATTTTTTTTGCGGCCCTCAAAACTGTGAAAGACCCTAATTCGGTCCTTTAGCCAAAACGTTTGGAGATCCCCGGTAGGGCAACCACATACTGGATGGGTATGGTAGCTCGATACCTTCTCTGTCCCCCTGTCTGTGTCATTGCGGTCATCTCAGGGCAAGTGTTCTTTTTTAACCCAGAACGCGGGGTTGATGTGGGCAATTCTAAATTTCCACACACTATTCCTTCGCCAGTTTTTACGCCAAGCAAGCGTCGACTGTGTTCGACAGTTAGCTCGAACCACAGCAGGTGTTGGCTCTTAATTGCGAACAGAGTAAATACAAGAGGGAAAAGTGCAGCTCGGGATTCACGGAATTATTTTGTAGTCGTTCAGTCTGCTGTCACGAGGGCTGTATAAACTGGGTCGTTTTTAGTTTTTGTTTTGTTTTACCAATTCATATGAGCTCTTTTGCTGACTGCGGTTCGTTACGTCTGGTGTATCATCCATGGCAAGCAAAATTTCTAACGTAAGCAAACTGTTTTGCTTTGCGTTCATAGAACGTCTTTCTGAAATACTGAATATGTGTATTTTATGGTTTTGTTGATCTGTCCGTAGATACTTTCCTTCCAACTTCCTTCGCGGGGTGGGAGCGTTCGTACTATAAGCTTTACGCGATGCGTGGCTTGTCTGTGACGTCAATGCGACACGCTGGAAGTCGTTTCTACTTGCTCTTTTCGAGAAAAACAAATTCGGTGGCATGAATTGTACGCAGTGTAAGGTAATTTTCAGGCAGTGTAATTGTAGTAGCAGCGAGGCTATACTACAATCGCAGCAGATGTGAAGTCAGTTAAAGCTATGCAGAGATCATCCCAGCTTTTTGGTCTGTGCCATTTTCGGGGTTCGTTCGCTTCGCTATCTTCCGACGCAACGAAGATACGCGTGCTAACCTGTCAATTTCTAAACATTCTGAGTGTGTACACTTCTCAAAGTTGATTTCTTTGATTTCTTCTGGCGAGCAGACGGCACTATACGATGTGGTTTGTGTAGCTTGTTTTTCGCGGAGCTTGGTGTTTACCCGATACAAAACCCTCGAGCTGAATTCTTGTTGTCCCCAGTGGTGTAGTTTTCACCTTAGCCACCAGGGGTACGCCGGTTGGACATGCGCCCCATACGTGGCTCGCATTAAAGGAGCTGTGCAACGATATTCATTTGGAATGTTTTTTTCTGTACACGAGCTTACTGGCACACCAGGGACTCAAGGATACTCACACGCAACGCCATTGGCCAAGAAACTCCTTTGCTGCGGTGTAATTTCAAGGACAAAAGCGATCATTTTCATTCAATCTCTCCTTTGCAAAATTTGATGACGTAACTCGGGGATCGCAGTACACCCAAGTGACGATATTTGAATGCGGTTCATAGATTGGACCCGACCATTGCGTGGGCACTCGACTTGTGCTCGTGACAATTGCTAGCTCGAGAAGCATTCGGGTTGTGACCCGTGTCCAATCGCTGCAACGACGACAACAGCCGAGCCATAACAATGTCTGGAACTCAGCGCGTGTCCTGCGCTTTGCCAACCCCAGCGCGTGGCTATGATCAACACTGGCGGCATATAATCGGCTCCAGATCACGTGGCCGCTTGTTCTGGCTGCGAGTTGAGGGGGTGAACGCTGCTCATTTTTCTTTAACTTTTTCCTGAGTCTTCTATTGCGTGGGGTGAAAAACGAACGCGTGTTTTATAGGTCATTAACGGCAGGGATCCGTTTTAAGCGGTATTTGCGCAAAGTACAAAAATTGTTGCATTGCTCCTTTAACGTCACATCAGCTGCCATTGGGGTGGCCTCTCTGATGCCTCTTCCAATGCGTATTTATTGAGCGGAGGCGGCGGCGGCGTAACCGCGCGCGTTGCGTTGTGGGATTAATCCAACCGAGCGTAACCGCGCCTTGCATTATGGGAAAAATTTCCCGATAAATTTAGCGGAAAAATTTTAGCTAAATTTCTCGCTAAATTTAGCGGAAAATTTTCGCTAAATTTTCTGCTAAATTTAGCGGGAACATTTCTCCGCTAAATTTTTCTCTAAATGGGAGCGGAGGAGGAGGGGAGGGGGAGGAGGTGCATACCCTCCCCTCCTCCTTCTCAAGAGCTGCGCTCTAATTTCGCATTACAGAAAACTCTAAACGTCTTTAAATTTTTTTTCAACAAGAATTCACAATACCCAGCAACGCGTGGTTTATAAACGTTCATGTTCGTTTTATTGAAAATTATCAAAATCGAAAATTGATGCTTTATTCGCAACTTTCTCTAGGAAGTGTATATATTATAACATCCTTACTTACTTACTATTTACTGTTTATTGGCGCAAGGGTATACCTATGGGCCAAAGAGCGCCAGTCTATGGTGAATGCTGTGTTAAATCTCAAAGTTAGTCACTGCTACTATATTGGCTTTAAAGTAATGATGTCAGGCCAGATAGAAATAAAGATGTGAAAAGTTGACGCTGTGAAACTAATGGAGTATCAGATGAGAGAAATGCCGGATGAAAAGGAGTGTGGTTCCGTCTTAGGGAGTTCGACCAGGTTTCTAAGATGTGTGGGTACCTTGGGCACGAGTAGATATGTAGAGCAGAGAGTGTGGTATGGCAGATATCTCATATATTTCCTCATCGATTATAATGTAGCGTAATGGTTATCTCGATTTTTTTTTTGTGTGTGTGACATTACTCTTTTAAGGCAAAGATGAATACAGAGTTCGCATAATGAACATGGAGAGATAATTTTTGTATTATCGGTATCTTTCTCACCCTTTTCTATCTTAAGATTCCATAGAAAAATTGGCCCAATTTGCTGACAAGGGTTCAGTTGACATGTGGGTCCTTGTATGCACAGCGTTGACAGCCGTCACCTTCACGTTGTTCTACTTGTAAGTATATATGCATTCCTTTGGTACAATTAAGCCATGGATGCGCCACCAGCCCATAAGGGCCATAACAAATAACTTCCCAGCACCCCAAAACCACTCCTGATTATCTCAATGCTTGTATGGCGATTTAATCTAAAATAATATTTTCTGATGAAAATGAACGTATCTTGATGCGAGCTTAGCCAAATTTGTTGCGAGTATAACCACGAAGAATACCTTCATGTTTAGTGTTACTGGTACCTCACTAAGCCATTTTTTCCCCCAGAGATTATAATTTTTTTTTCGACAGCTAAGTTCTATTTTTACTTTTTTTTTTAAATAAGACCACCGTGCTTGGTTAGATTACCAGTGTCCTCCATTCTTTCAAGCTGTTTCCCTATTTTGTTTATTGTTGTTGATGTGTTACTGTATCTTCTTGGACTTCTTTTATGTGTATTGTTTTTGTTTTCGCCTGCTGAGCAGTGAAAACGGGTGATAGGGCCAAGTCAGGCAGAATCAGTCTGCCTTTTGCCCTGTCACCCTTAGACTAAATTAAACCTAAATAAATCCAATTCAATGTATTCATTATTATGTGGTGGTTATTTTATTTTGTGTAGAAATAAAAAAAATAATTTAGGAACACTTTGAAAGTATCTTTATTTTACCATGCCGGTTGGAAGAGAAACTCAACCACATGGAAAATTAGATAAATCTACTAAACACAGCACATAGTCTAAATTGAGTATATACAAACAGACTTTCTGAATTGTACCTTGCACCAATCGAAGGAAGGTGTATTTTAAGTTTAAACGAGATACCTCTAATTTAAAGACACCGCATTTTCCTATATTGTATTTCCTTGATCATATTCAAGGAAATATTTGTTGCTGTTAAATTATTTCTATGTGGACATAAATAAACTTTACTCTATAGCTGTGATCATGCTGGCAGGGACCGGTGGACCCATCATTGTTTCTAGCTACTGTAATACGCTTCAAGTGTGTGGGTCGCTCATGCTGTCTGTTTGTAATGGGGCCCGGGAAGGGTGGAAAGAGGGGGGAGGGGGGCTGATATGTGCACGGTAAGCACAACCACACAGTTTAAACCTACGCAGATTGACACATCCCGTGTCCCCCGGTATTTGTCAGCATAATCAAGCTGGTGTAAATTTTGACTTCATAAAATAGCTTTTAGCTAACCCCACGCACCTGTTTCGTCTAGTTAAAACGTAACAAACTGCTTAGCTCAGTCGGTATCACCAACATCATCGTGGATATTATATTTCAATTTCTGTGCCCATAAACAATAATTGTCTGTGATGAGGCAAACCGTAGTGCTTACGGTATCTGGCTGGGAATCACTTAGTCTCAAGTTCAGTCTCCGTTGAGGAGTTATCTTGTACTTCCGTCTTAATAATAGCCCCTACGGGTCTAGCATTACAGTTTTTTTTTGTTGAAACTAACGTATCAGCACATTCTGCGTTAAAATTATGTAGTAACCAATTGAAAATTCTTCTTACTATGCCGGTTAAGAGAGTTTCTCATGCCGCGCGGGAAACCAAACAAACCTACCAAAGACCGCACGTGTTCCAGATTCAAGCGGACGTCCTGTATTACCTCTATTATATGCCTATCCGGGACAGCTGTCATTTCAAGTCGAAAAATATTAGCTCGAAATTGAGCACACCACGTTTTCCCCGCTTGCTTTTGGTACAAAAAACTGTACGGAGTTGCGGAACGCAGCTGTTAAGCTTTAGGTACTAAATGAAATACAGCTTGAAAAATAGAGGCACGGAGTAGCCCGTACCAGGAGGCCTGTGGTGTCGCAATTTTTACGGTATGCACACAATACACACGCAGAACGATACGCAGCGATTTTTATCATTCATAATACTACAGTCAGCTTAAAAACTCTAGCTTAGCGTCAACCACGTCAACGCTTCCCCAATTAGAAAAAAAAAAGCATCTTGCTTTCTAGGCCACCGAATGTTTTTAGAGCTCGTAGGCCAAACCTTCCCGAAAGCTCACCAAAGTTACATATTAGAAAGACGTAGTGAATCAACCGAAATCGTAGAGAATATAGTTGCAATTTGGCGGTTTCATAGGATGATTAAAAACGACTTGTAATTCCTGTGAAGCCGAAGGGTGGACAGACACTCACGAGACACTGGCCGATAATGCAATTCGGTAGGGACGATTGGGACGATTATACAAGGCACTTTCGGGATTCACGGTTGGACGAGCATATCTAGAGGACGGTCGGATGCGAATGCGGGCTCTAAATGAGGTCACTGACACACTTAGATGGTGAGAAAAGCCCACACGACCGGCATCTCGCCGCTCCAGCTCACCGAGACATCGAGACTCTTAGGAACATCCAGAGGGCGCCTCCGTCCTTGCCTCCGTCGCAAACCGGAAGTTAGAGGTGAGGTAGGAAGGTTTTCTTGGCAGAAGAGGAAAAAAGAACGCGCCACTTTTACCAGATACAGGTGCTTGAAGCTAAATACGACAACAGCGCCACCCGTTAGCGACGAGTTAAAACCTGAAAGTTGCTTTATATGGCTACTGCTACAGTCACTGAATGTTACCGGAGTACCGAAACTCCCAGGCTGGAGATGCCGAAATGGCGGCACAATCTGTTTTCGTTACTGTGGTCACCATGAGCTTTTAGAAACCGTGTTTTTGTTTTGGCTGAATAACGAACAGAAAAAGCTATTTCTGTTGTGGATTTCGTTTGAGATTAGAAGAAAATTACAGGAGCGTGATGTTTGCATAAAAGTTTAGTGTACGCGGTTTTGCGACACAATGAATATTGTTTTTATACAGCCATGTCTCGCCGGTGGCTTCAGGTAGCGCGTCCCGACCTGGGTGCGTACCCGTCAAGCTCCTTGATGCAGCGCCCTCCGGCATTCAAACTGTCACGCAGTTCCCCAGCGACTGTCACCAACCACATCAGTCCACGCCATGTCCGACCGCCGCGCAAGTTCAACACCTGCAAGAAAACGCCGCGCTACTTGGGAAACAGGTGGCTGCCCTAAGACAGCGTCATTCACGTGCGCCTGAGTCCCCCGCGAGTGAAGGTCACTCTGCTCATCTGGACAACTTCAACTCTGCTGGTACCACCAAAACTTTGGAACCCCAACGTACCACTGCTCTCCTCCTTGATCATGGTCGAAGGAAAACGCCTGCGGCACTTAGTAGGAACGACCGGTCAAGTGCCCAACCACACAGGTCACTTATTTTTTATCGTCTAAAGGAACACCAAGGTTTCATTCCTTGTGGACACGGGAGCACAAGTCAGCGTGATACCACCTTCCTCGCAGGACCGGAAGTTTAAAAGCAACATATCTAACCTTCAGGCTTCAAGCAATAAATCAGTCCAGCATTACCATGTACGGACAGAAATCGTTGACGCTTGATTTTGGCGTTCACAATTTTTCCGGTGGATTTTTCTTGTTTCCGATGTAAATAGCCCTGCTTTGGGGGCCGTTCTTTTATCCTTCTTTGGTCTGCAGGTAAACATGTGCAACTCCCAGCTCTCTGATCTTGCGACTCGTCTGGCTGTAGGAAGAATAGTCGCTGCTCTACCTCGCCCACCATTCCCAACACATCTGAACAACATCTATATGAGAACCCTTTGAAAGAATTTCCTGATCTCACTCGGCCGTGCAATGTAATACGTTCTTTGAAGCACCAAGTTACTCACCACATTGTCACCACCGGATCATCGATCCACGCTCGCGATCTCCGACCATACCTCGGCAAATCTCACTCATGAAGCCACTCACTCACCCTCACTCACTTTCATCCTCACAGGTGAGGGGGGGGGGGGGGGGCGAGGGAGTTTCTGAACCCCAAAAATTCATAAATGTGAGGGTGAGTGAGGACCGTGAGGTCGTGAGGGGTGTGAGGGCCATGAGTGTGTGAGGGGTATGAGGGCCGTGAGGGCGGTGAGTGCGTGAGGGGCGTGAGGGCCATGAGTGCCTGTGGGGCGTGAAGGCGTGAGGGCTGTGAGGACCGTGAGTGCGTGAGGGGTGTGAGGGCCGTGAGGGTGTGAGTGCGTGAGGGGCGTGAGGGTGAATGAAGGGCTGAAGCTGAGTGTGGTGGTGAGTGAGGGGCAGAGGGTGAGTGTAGCTGTGAGGGTGAGGGAGGGGCTGAAGTGAGTGTGGCTGTGAGGGTGAGGATGAGTGAAAGCGATCTAAAATGTCGACCTCTGTCTCCGACTAGCACCAGAACGACTCAAGATCGCGAGGAAACAGTTTGATCTTAATGCAGGAGCCTAGGGATTATCCGACCATCTACCAGCTCTTGGTCTTCACCAGTGGATATGGTACCGAAAGTCACAACAGGCGATTGGTGCCAGTGCGGGGATTATGCGGCTCTAAATAACGGCACAGTGGCCGACACGTTCCCGGTACCTATTTTCTCAAAAATCGACTTCGTCAAGGCATATTCTCAAATACCTGTGAAGCCAATGAAATCTCCAAGACGGCAATAATCGCACCTTTCGGTTGGTACGAATTCGTCCGAATGCCGTTTGGACTCCGAAATGCCGCACAGACATTTCAGCGGTTTATTAACCAGGTCACACGGGGATTGCATTTTTGCTATGCATACTTAGACGACCTTCTGGTAGCAAGTAAGACAAAAGAACAACACCTGGAACATCTTCAGCTTCTTCTCACACGATTGAGAGACAACGGCATCGTCATTAATTATGCTAGATGCTTATTCGGCGTATCTGAATTGTCTTTTCTGGGCCATCGTCTTGACGGTTCAGGAGTGAAACCATTCTTTGACAAGGTTGAGGCGATTACCGCTTTCCCAAAGCCAACAAACGTAAAACAACTGCGAGAATTTCTCGGGCTCAGCAATATTGTCGCGAATGGAAAAGCGGCTCAACAAATGTAAACTGAAAATTAAGCTTTAATCGGCGAACTTGTGCCAAACAAATTAAAGAACGAGCGTCCAGACAGCAGAAAGGAGGGTGGCGATCTGGCAGCGTAACAGCAAGCGAGCGGA